ACTTTTTTTTTGGAGTAGTACCATAAAATTATATATCAATGGAAAGATAATTTAATCAAGAATGTAAGGCAACATAGTTTGTTCAATTATCTGTACTGTATTCTATGAAAAGTTATAGCCAAATAACCAGAAAAAGGAAGCACAACTTGCTTAGGTTGATGTCAGGTAGCTTTCCTTCATCTGATTGTAGCCAATGAGCATGAGTGTTTAGAGAGCCAATCAGGTGTCGTCTTGGCAATGAGCCAATCAGATCACTGTAGGATTCAGTTATTGATGTCATGTATTGAAGCTGAGAGGAGGACATTTGTCAGTGTTTTATGTGATCGCTATCAAGTTGGTTGGGTTTTTTTGTGTTCTTTCATTTAGTGAGCTTGTAAAACGTAATAAAATTAAAGTAATGGTGCAAAGAGTTGACTGGTTGCCCAGAAAGCAATGTAAAATAGTATTAAGTGAACAAGGCTACAGTTATAAAGAAATTAGAAGAAAAATTGGTGGAAACTTAACCAAATTTTGGGCACTACTGTATCTCTCTCTTGAAAATGATAATCTGCACAGCTTCCATTGCATTAAACACATACCATAGATGGATACGCCTGCAGTAAATATAGAATAGTTCAACATCAGATGATGTACAGCAGATCCACCCCAACAGAAGCCAATGACGCCTATCCTTGTCACATAACATTCTTCCTTCAAATATCTCAAGACTACATCAGTTTCCCTAAGGTACAAAAAGTAAGTCAGCAAAGAAATCAACCAGAAAAATAGTAATCTTGAGAGGGGGAAAACACATAAACCTGAATTAGCATAATACAAGATAATATTATGGTTGATTTCACAGTTAACCAAATATTTATACTGGATTTGGCATTTATATCTACCTATCGCAATCTTCCCACCATGGATTGGCAGATGTTGCTTGATGGTACCGATGTAAGGTCTTCCAAGCACAATTCCCTTTTGCAGTTGATTGATGGGGATTTTACCAATGCTGATGATGTTCGAGTGATACTCCAGATGTTTTAGGATTTTACCAAATATACCCATTATTATTGGTATTATTTTTGCTTTCTTTTGCCACAGTTATTTCAGATCTTGATATTTTGTGATTTTCTTCAATTCTTTCTCTCCATTGATGGATTGGTAGAAACATTTCTGATATAACTGAAATGGGAGATTCTGTCTGTAGTGTGCAGCTTGAGCTTCATATCTGATTTTCTTGACCAGAGCTGTTATTTTCTGCTTTATTATATCCCAATGGTCCCTTGAACTTTTTTGTCTTTAGTGACATTTGTTGATAAGCTATTTTTTGGTCTTCTTATTCTTCTACTTCTTTCATATGTTGCTTAAATCTGATCTTAGCATGTTGATCTTATTTTCCAACCTGATCTTTCATTTTGGTAATGCACTGTTTACTCTTTTTTGTTGATTTTGCATCCAAGATCTTCAGTTATATTTGCAGTTGTGCTATACATCAATGGTTTGTTTCTTGCAATGAGCTGGTTCTTATATTTGATATTACACTATTTGCAGCTTTTAATACTTGTGCCAGCTGTTTCTTTGGAACAAGCTTCAATATAGGAAATCTTTTGCAATTGACTGATGGGGATTTTTGTCAGTCCCAATGGTACTTAAGTGATGCTCCAGTTGTTTTTGGTATTATTACATCATCTATAATCAATCAATCCATCCATCCATCTAGCTAGCTAGCTGGTGAGATGAGATGGATTGGCTGTGAGGTGAGTTGGGCTGAGAAGGTGACTGGCCCCAAGTCACCCAGCCAGATTTCATGCCTAAGGGAGGCTTAGAACCCATAGTCTGCTGCTTTCTAGGCCAGCAACTTAACCATTTTTAAACACTATTTTTCAGAACAATTTGCTGAAACTGATTGGAAAAAGTGTAGAGGATACTGGTAAGATATATTAAAATATGCAGAATCTGAAGAGGGCTTGTGTGTGTGTGTGTGTTTGATAGAAATGTATTTATTTATTTTGCCACCTATCTCCCCTATATGGTGACTAAATGGTTTCAATAATGGGATATATTATTTAGAATCAAGTGGAGTCAGCTGCTTACCTGTCCCCTATATATCCTACACACACAGAGAGAGGGGGGGGAAGTAAATACCTGTCAAGATAAAAGCTTACTTATCTATATTTTTGGGATCTCGTGTTTTTAGCCATTCATTTAATTGAGACATATCATCAGAGGGTTTCCAAGGTTCTCCTCCCTTAAAAAAGTCTGGACAAATTGTACTGCACAAAAAATAAATACAAAATATTTTGTTAAAATCTTTCTTATTTAATAGTCACCTATAACACAGACAATTCCCTCCCTTTTATACAGATTCATTGGGAGAAAGGAACAATAACCTGTCTTAAACAATGAGAGTTCTTAAATTGAATGACTAGCAAATAAATAAATAAAGCCTAATCCCATATTCACAACATGCTTTCATGATAGAAGCAGAAACTATATTATTGTCATTAGGTTAAAATACATGATTTGTGTAGTGGTTGATCTGTGAATGCTGATGCATGCCTATAAGTTGCATAACTAACCTATGCCAACAATGTTCTTGATTTCACTATAGTGCATACAAAGAGAAAATTTCCTGTATGGAAAATCATCCCAAAGATCTCCTAGAGGAACAGGATAACCAACAGATAAAATGCCAGGGTGGATAATACCTGCTTCTAAATGCAAATGTGAACACCTATCCTATATACGTTGTCATGCAGAGTATTAGTTGCCCTTTGCATCTAAATATTAGCTTACTGAATTGATAACTTATAATCAGTCAATCAATCAAGTTATTGTCCATTTCCAAATAGGTTTTATTTTATAGTTTAATGAAGAGAAGGATGAGGGGGGACATGATAGCAGTGTTCCAATATCTCAGGGGTTGCCACAAAGAAGAGGGAGTCAAGCTATTCTCTAAAGCACCTGAAGGCAAGACAAGAAGCAATGGATGGAAACTAATCAAAGAGAGAAGCAACCTAGAACTAAGGAGAAATTTCCTGACAGTTAGAATAATTAATCAGTGGAACAATCTGCCTCCAGAAGCTGTGAATGCTCCAACACTGAACGTTTTTAAGAAGAGACTGGACAACTATTTGTCTGAAATGGTAAAGGGTTGTACTAGAATATCTCAAAGGTCCCTTCCAACTATTATTATTATTATTATTATTATTATTATTATTATTATTATTATTATTATTATTATTATTAACAATCACCAAGTACGGTAAATCAGCTCCAGGTAAATTAATATACAAATTATTGTTATCGTGTTGTATTTCATATGCTGTGCAATAATTCTACATATCTTTTCCATTACATATATATATATATATATAAGCTTGGACATACAAACTACATATAAATGGATAAATTAGAAGGCACCTTGATTTAAGAATCACAACTACATAAAGGAAAAAAGAATATGATGGAGAAAAAATAAAGTTCATTTCTTACATGTATCCATTGGAAGCAACCAAATCAGCAATATATCTAGTATTTGGGAGTTGCCATCCAAATATATCATGAATCACAATTACAGCTGCATCGGTCTGGAAAGAGGGCTTCTTTACATAGGCCTTAATATGCTCAATTGACACTTCTTGTCCAAGAGGTTGATAATCAAACACATCTCCAAGGTCACATGGACAAAATTTAGGCTTATCTGCCATCTGTAAAATGTAAAAGAACATCTGGGAGACAATTCTTTAGCGTGTCTATAGATCCTATTCTCTGCAGATGACGGGTGCATGCATATATTCTGTAATTTACAGATTTAAAAATGAAACTACACATAAGTCCTGAGACAGATCATTACACTAATTTACCAATAATTTAATAGCTACAGTAATGTATTTAGAATTAAACATCCAAACCAAACCAAACATCCAAAACCTGATTTACTTTTCAATTGTGTCACATGGGATTATGGTAATACAAGATATATGTTGAGTGTCTTAATGAGAAAGAGACAGACCAAGATTTATCATTTCTGGATATTGTGTGAAGAAAATTTAAGTGAAGGATGCCACAATCGGTAGGATTTGTTTTTTTAAAAAATAGCTTTATTTGTTAGAAATGCAGATAGAAGTAAGCTGAGTTTTGTGAAGGTTA